TCTGTCCCAAAAATAAATAAACGTTGAAAAAAAAATTAAAAAAAAAAGCAATTATTTTATAATATAAATTATTTACATTTCCAATAGACTCATAAATATTACTATATATGTATAATTTGTTTCAGAGAAGAACTGGCTGATTTTGGTTGGTGTATCTTTTTTTAATTTTTTAATATGTTTTTCTTTTAATTTTTTTTTTGCTAATTTTTTTTATGTTTATTTATTTTTGAGAGAGAGGCAGAGTGTGATCAGGGGAGGGGCAGAGAGAAAGAGGGAGACAGACTCCAAAGCAAGCTCCAGGCTCTGAGCTGTCAGCACAAAGCCCGATGCAGGGCTCCAACTCACAAACCATTAGATCACGACCTGAGCTGAAGTTGGACACTTAACCGACTGAGCCACCCAGGCTCCCCCATTTATTTTAATTTTTTGAAAGAAAGAGACAGTATGAGTAGGGAAGGGGCAGAGAGAGAGGGAGACACAGAATCTGAAGCAGGCTCCAGGCTTCTAGCTGTCAGCACAGAGCCCCAGGGGCTTACACTCAACAATCTCGAGATCATGACCTGAGCCAAAGTTGGACTTTTTTTTTTTTTTTTAACACAACGTTTATTTATTTTTGGGACAGAGAGAGACAGAGCATGAACGGGGGAGGGGCAGAGAGAGAGGGAGACACAGAATCAGAAACAGGCTCCAGGCTCTGAGCCATCAGTCCAGAGCCTGACGCGGGGCTCGAACTCACGGACCGCGAGATCGTGACCTGGCTGAAGTCGGACGCTTAACCGACTGCGCCACCCAGGCGCCCCAAAGTTGGACTTTTTAAAAAAAAATTTTTTTTATGTTTATTTTTGAGAGAGAGAGAGAGAGCAGGGGAGGGGCAGAGAGAGAGAGGGAGACACAGAATCCAAAGCAGGCTCCAGACTCCAAGTAGTCAGCATAGAGCTGGACACGGGGCTCGAACTCATTGGTTGTGAGATCAGGACCTAGCCGAAGTCGGACCTTAACCAACTGAGCCACCCAGGCGCCCCTGGAAGTCGGACTCTTAACCAAATGAGCCACCCAGGCACCCCTGTTGCTGTATCTTTTAAATCTTCTGTATTTAACAGAATTTTTTTTTTTTAATTTTTTTTTCAACGTTTATTTATTTTTGGGACAGAGAGAGACCGAGCATGAACGGGGGAGGGTCAGAGAGAGGGAGACACAGAATCGGAAACAGGCCCCAGGCTCCGAGCCATCAGCCCAGAGCGCGACGCGGGGCTCGAACTCACGGACCGCGAGATCGTGACCCGGCTGAAGTCGGACGCTTAACCGACTGCGCCACCCAGGCGCCCCCAGAATTTTTTTTTTTTTAACATTTATTTATTATTGACAGAGAGAGAGAGAGAGAGAGAGAGAGAGAGAGAGAGAGAGTGCAAGCAGGGGAGGAGCAGAGAGAAAGGAGACAGAATCTGAAGCAAGTTCCAGGCTCTGAGCTGTCAGCACAGAGCCTGATATGGGGCTCAAACTCACGAACCCTGAGATCATGACCTGAACTGAAGTCGGATGCTTAACCGACTGCACCACCAAGGCACCCCAATCCTCTATTTTTAAAAAAATAATCTTCTATATTTTTGTCTCTGTTTTCCTAGTAATATTTTATTTTTATTTAAGGAAGTAAGTTGTTTGCCCTGTAGTTTTGGTCACAATCTGAATTTTGTCAGTTGCATCCCCATGGTATACTTAACATGTTCCTTTGTCCTCTGTATTTTTTATAAATTGGTAGTAAGATCTAGATGTTTTATTAGATTCAGGTTTAATTTTTTAACAAGGTGTTTTCATAGGTGGTGGTGTGTTTTTCCATTAGAAGACATACAGTGTGTGCTTATCTTTCTTCTAATGTAATCTCCTTTGTA